ACCTATGAACTTTCCTCTTAGCACTGCTTTCAGAGTATCCCATAGATTTGGGTATGTTGTGTCTGCATTCTCATTGAATTCTAGGAAATCTTTAATTTCTCTTTTTATTTCTTCCTAGACCCATGTATTGTGCAATTGGGTGTTACTTAATTTCCATGAGTTTGTAGGTTTTCTGTAGTTCCTGTTGTTGATTTCTAATTTTAAATCATGGTGATCTGATAAGACACGGGGGGGGGTTATTTCAAGTTTTTTGTACTTGTTGAGGTTTGTTATGTTGTAAAGTATGTGGTCGATTTTAGAGAAAGTTCCTTGTGGCACTGAGAAGAAGATAAATTGTTTTGTATTTGGGTGGAATGTTCTATACATATCTGTTAAGTCCAATTGTGCCATAACTACTATTAGTTCTTTTGTTTCTTTGTTAAGTTTCTGTCTGGTGTTCCTGTCCAGTGGTGAGATTGGGGTGTTGAAGTCTCCCACAATAATTGTGTGTGATTTTATGTGTGATTTGTGTTTTAGTAATGTTTCTTTTAGGGACATAGATGCCTTTTTATTTGGGGCAAAATGTTCAGAATTGAGACTTCATCCTGATGGATTTCTCCAGTGATGAGTAGGAAATGACCTTCTTCATCTCTTTTGACTGATTTTAGTTTAAAGTCCAATTTATTGGATATTAGGATTGGTATCCCTGCTTGTTTCTCGGGTCCATTTGATTGGAAGATCTTTCCCCAACTTTTAATTCTTAGGTACCATCTGTCTTTGCAGTTGAAGTGAGTTTCTTGTATGCAGCACAAGGATGGATTCTGTCTTCTTATCCATTTTTCTAACCTGTGTCTTTTTATGGGCGAGTTAAGGCCATTAATGTTGATGGATAATGACCATTGATTATTTTTCATTCTTGTTTGTTTTGATTTGGTGATGGTGGAGAGATTATGTGTGGGATTCTGTCCCTTTTCCCTTTTGCCCTTTTGACTGTTGGTAAGTTTGGATTATCTATTGCCTATCTTTTTCTGGTTGTAGTTAGCTTCTCTGGGTTGCAGTTTTCCTTCCAGTACTTTTGTAGGGCTGGATTGGTGGATATGTATTGTTTGCATCTGGTTTTGTCATGGAATATCTTGTTTTCTCCATCTATAATGATTGAAAGCTTTTCTAGTATAGTAGACTAGGCTGGCATCCATGATCTCTTAGTGTAGGTAGAATATCCAGGACCTTCTGGCTTTCAGAGCTTCCAAGGAAAAGTCAGGTGTGATTCTGATAGGTTTGCCTTTATACTTGACCTTTTTCCTTTGCTGCTCTTAATATTTTCCCTTTGTTGTGTATGTTTGGTCTTTTGATTATTATGTGGCGAGGTGACCTTTTTTTAGTTCAGTCTATTTGGTGTTCTGTGGGCTTCTTGTATTTTCATTGGTATGTCTTTCTTTTGGTTGTGAAAGTTTTCTTCTATGATTTTGTTGAATATGTTTTCTGTGCCTTTGAGTTGGACTTCTTCACCTTGTTCTATATTTGTTAGTCTTAGGTTTGGTCTTTTCACTGTATCCCATATTTACTGGATATTTTGTGATAGGGATTTGTTGTCCTTAAGATTTTTTTGGTTGATGAATCTATTTCCACTAGTGTGTCTTCAACTCTTGAGATTCTCTCTTCCATCTCTTGTGTTCTGTTGGTTATGCTTACATCTGTAGTTCCTGAACATTTACCCAGCTTTTCTATTTCCAGTATTCCCTCAGATTGTGCTTTTTTATTGTCTCTATTTCAGTTTTTAGGTCTTAAACTGTTTCCTTGAGAGCTTTGTTGATATCTTGTATTTTTTGGTTCGTTTTTTCTTCCATTTTTTAAGGGATTTTCTCACGTCCTCTTTGTGGTCCTCTATCATTTTCATGAAGATGCTTTTAATGTCATTCTCTTCTGGTTCATCTGCATCGTGATGTTCAGGTCTTACTGGTGTATGGTTCCTAGTCTCTGGTGGTGTCATGTTGTGTTTTCTGTTGTTGGATGTGCTTTTACTTTGTCCTCTTCTCATGCTTTCTCCTGGTGGGTGTAGCAAGTGTTTCTTGTTCTCCTGGTGGGTGTGGGACCAAGGTTCTCATCTGGTAGATGCAAACAAATCCAATACTCTGATGTAGGTCCTCTTCTCGTGGATGGAGGTGTCATTGTTACATGGGTGTCGGCAGTGTTCGGGCATGCCAGGTCCTACTGGGCCAGCAGTTGGAGGCAGAGCTGTCACCGGGCCTTGGTGTGTGTGATCCCGCTGCTGAACTCCGTCCAGCACGCAGGTTGCTTGTATCAGATGACTCTGAGCAGCGATGACAAACAGGAGCCAGAAACATCTACTGGCCTACCTGGGCCGGCAGATGGAGGCCAGGCTGCTTCTGGGTGTCCGGTGTTCAGAACCCACTGCCGCCGAACTGGTGCCATCACACATGTTGCTTGCATCAGATGACTCTGAGCAGCGATGATCTATAATTTATTTTTAAATGCACTGCATTATTTTGATACAAATAATGCTTGATCAATAGTTTTCTTCTATAAGAGCTGATTTTCTTCTGTTTATCATTTGAAAATAATAGTTAATGTTGACTTTTAAGTATGCTAATTGATATATAAGGACTATGTATTGTGACATCTAGTATATATGATAGTAGTATTTATATCGTATCAACTGTCACTTAATTAGTATATATTATGCTTTCATAATGCTACCAGGCATCTTCCTCTTTCCACAAGTAATCCTGGGTTGTGACCAATGTGCCACTTCCTTCCTTTTTCTGTCAAACCAGCCAAAGTCCAGAAGGAGATTGACCATGTGATTGGTAGAAACAGAAGCCCCTGCATGCAGGACAGGATTCACATGCCTTACACTGATGCTGTGTTGCATGAGATTCAGAGATACATTGACCTCCTTCCCACCAGCCTGCCCCATGCAACAACCTGTGACATGAAGTTCAGAAACTATCTCATTCCCAAGGTAAATTTCCTTTGTCTACACTGTACCTTTATGATCTTGATTTCAAATGAGTGAGTGAAATTAAATCATAAACCCAAGATATTAGGTCTTGCAATTTCAGATTACCAATTCTGAAGAGAAAGTTCTAAAAACCTTCAGGGAGATTAAGCTAAACAAGCTGCAAATGTATATTTACAAGTAGACTGTGACTGGTCCAAATTTTCTGTCTCCACAAGATAGGAGAAATAACACACTTTAAATCTGGAAGCTGGATTGATTTTATGCTATTTCCAGTAAGAGATAATACAATTATAGAACAAATGTTTGTTTGTGGAACTGTATGTCTCCCAAATGTACTCTCCATTTAAAACCACTTGACTGTTTACACTTTCAAATAAAACATAAAGTTCGGATTGGCAGTCTTTGAAAAGACTCTTCTAGGATTTTATCAGGATGCTAAGAAGTATTTAGGCACAATTAGAGAATTTATATATTGACCCATTAAATCTTTCAGTTCATGGTATTATGTACTCAGTTTCAGGGTTGGTTTGTGTCATTGTTCTCTAACAGTTTACTTCCAGTTATAACACTGGAAAAATAATGGACAAAGGATAACCTATAGGACTCATATATTGAAACAGATAGGCATATGTTAACTATGTTGTTAGTGGATATGGCTACTTCTTCCTGTCTTATGATGTTATTCAGATCTCTCCATTATAGAGGCTCTGCTATTTTTGTAATCAATAAAATGTATGGCATGGCCCATTGATGCCTTACGAATATCCTGCTTGGTGAGTCATCTGATCAGTTTCTCAGTTTCAATATTTATTCTCAAGTAAACTGATGACACTGACTGGAATTCTTACAAAATCAGGAAATTTCTAAGTTTGTCATACCTTGAATTTTTTTCAAGTAGTCCTAAATGTAATACATATTGCATACATATTTTAAAATTGAGGCAAATAAATTGTGTGTTGTGGAAAAATGGAATTATGTTTTATTTGTTTTTGGTTGTGTTATTCTAGAAGACATTGTTAATTTTATTAGACATGTATATGCAACATTTCTATGAGCAGGTACTTCTGGTGTTACACATAAAAAACTTACATTTGAAGCCACGTTCCACATATGCATGATGCTAAAGCAGCAGTGGTAAAGTAGAGCAGTAGGTTGTGATAGATACTAGTGCCAAGCTTGTTGAAAAAAGAACATCCCATTACATGGTACTTCTAAAGTTATTGGAGGACACTGTATCAAAATCATTGCCATTGGATCCCAACTTATCTTTGTCTGTTACATGATTTGTCTGTCTAGATATGCCTCTGCTCTTGTTTGGACATGATTTCCTCAGAAGCTTTGACTATCCCATGCCCATTGTTTTTCTTACCTCTGTAACATTTATATAACTTGGCTTGTCTATGCCTCTTGTTTATAGGGTACCACTGTCATAGCATCTCTGTCATCTGTCCTATATGATGACAAAGAATTCCCCAACCCAGAGAAGTTTGATCCCGGTCACTTTTTGGATGAGAATGGCAAGTTTAAGAAAAGTGACTACTTTTTCCCCTTCTCAACAGGTAATCAAAATTATTTCTTGGTCTTCACATCTTACAATACACCTCCATCTTCCTTAATGTTCCATGAGCCTTAACTGCAGCAGTTGTGTTGTAGGGTATCCACTGGAGTTAGACACCCAGTGATAAATTGTTCTCTGCACTTTGGTCAGTTGTGGTTTTCTATAATGGTCTCTCTTTGTTGCAAAGAGTTTCATTGATGAACATGAGAGCTACACTTTGTCTGTGGATATAAAGATAAGTAGATCTATGCCTTCACTAGCCCAGGAAATTTGCGGAAGATTTCTAGTACCAGACAATATTTCCATCCCATTGAGGGGACTTAAAGACAGCCATAGGTTACCAACAAGATTTGTGTGTCCCTATTGCATCTTCAGGGATATTTTGTATTACGACCATGACAGCTAGGTTGGCTGTATTGGTTGCTTCCTTCTCTTCTGAAATTATGTTTCCTAGAAATGACAGGGAAACAACTACAAAACCAATAGGTATGCTAACACAGAAGGGGGAAATGTCATGAGACTCTTTCCTTAAACAAATAACAACAGATAACTAAAGAATCCACAGTGAGAGAAATCTTCATCCCCATTGATGAGCCTCCTTATTGGCTTTATAATTCTAATTGGTCAGCTTTGAAATCATATATATATATATATATATATATATATATGTTAATATATATATATATATTAACACTAATGGACTCAGACAGTTGTATTTTTATATCTACATATATAGATGTTATATATACATTTAATGATATATACTCACATATAACTACATGTTACATTTGTATGTAGCAATAACAAAGAATAGGAGATCATGATTTGAGAGTAAGTGAGGGGACATGTGGAAAAAATGTTACAGAAAGGAAGTGGAAAGGTGAAATGATGCAATTATATTTGAATTTCAAAAAAAATATCTCTAAGGTAGCAAGGTAACCTTTAGGTATCCCTTGAATATTACAAGTTGTTTTTTCTTAGGATGGTAGATTAGATCTGATCTGATCACCATTCCTGATGCCCATGCATTTTTTTCTGAGATGAAATATTATATCTGCTGAGTCATATTAGTGGTACTCTGGAGTGTTGACTCATCCTTTCCAAATACACAAAGTGAGACCACAATGCAGTGGTATTATGTTTATAGATATCTCATTGAGCTACTATTGAATCCTTCCTACACAACTGGGCACCATGTGTTTAAATAATGAGCCAATGAAGGACATATCATATTCAGTACACATCAAAGATTCTTTTCTAAGCAACTGTCTCTGGTGGTCACTGCATATCCAGTTATAGCTGTGGACTGCCCATGGGGACTCTATGATGATGTCAGGTTTTCTAATTCCAAGAACAGTTTAATTTCTATGATTTAGGACAATCCTCAAGATGATTGCTGGCTTTAGTACTCTAAGTGTTTGCTGAGAGACATGCAAAGGTTTCCTGTAAAGCTTCTCATCTAGGAAGGATCCTGGTTATCTGCTTATTTAAGCTATTTCTTTTTCTATGTGAAGCAGCCTTGTCTATGCTATGGCACTTTCTCTCTTGCATTTCTCCTTTCAGTGGGAGTCTCTTCCATTATCATTGTGTTTGGTTCCAAAGCAGTAGTATTCTAACTCTTCTGTTGTATTCTATATATTCTCTGGAGTTCATCAGCTCTAATTTTGTGTGTTTTTAAATCCCAAGCCTCACCTAGCTACTCAGCTCCATGAGCAGTTAAATGAGTGTTCCATTGTTTTTATCCTGTGAATGAGAATTCTAGTGATCAGTATTGCTGTTCCACCCTCTAAAGCTTTGTATCCAAGTATTTTAATTCTATGCTTTCTAATATAAGACATGGAAAATGTACCTGTCTTTTTTCCATTTGTCCACCCAACTGTCCATCTATCCATCCATCCATCCAGTCTATCAAAGAGTGACACAAATTCTCTTTTATTATAATTGTACACAGTGTTTGTCTCAGCCAAACATAAGGAGTTAATTATATTCTGTTATTTATTTATTTATTTGCAGGAAAATGGATTTGTGTGGGAGAAGGCCTGGCCCGAATGGAGTTATTTTTATTCCTGACCACCATTTTACAGAACTTTAACCTGAAGTCTCCAGTTGACCTGAAAGACCTTGATATCACCCCAGTTGCCAATGGATTTGTTTCTGTGCCACCTGAGTTCCAAATCTGCTTCACTCCCATCTGAATGTATTTCCCCATTGTACCTACCCCCTTCCTCTAGAGCACAGCTGACCTCTTCTGTCAGACATGCCTCTTTGGCCTCCCATCTCACATTGCTTCATCTCCTCAAGATCTAGGGAATGCCTGTCTTCTAATTGGGGGCAATTTTCAGGGTTAATGCACAAACATATCTACAATTCCCTATGCTGTCCAATGATTTATTGATTTCAGCATTGCCAATTCTTATCTAATGCTGAATTGTTAATACATTCTTACTATAAAACTCATAAATGTGACAGTTCAGCATCACCTAGCCCTGTGTATTTTAAATAAAATCATTATAGTTCTGGTCTGTTTTCAAAGTTTCCTTTCTTTTTTCTCTTATCATTTTATATAATCTCATGTAGTTCAGGCTGTCTCTAAACTCATTGTACAGCTGAACATAACTTAAAATCTTCCTGTCCCACCACTTGAGTTCTGGAATTCTATGTATATACCTGTACAATCTGATCCATTGTCATTTTTTGATCATAAGGCAAGTAGTAATAAATCAGTGTCCCAAGATGCTTTTGTTTCTTTATCATAACATATGCAAAGAAAGTAAGAATGAGTGGTAGAAAGGGTCTTTAGTTGAGCCTCACTGATAATGACTACAAATTTGGGTCTGAATGAGAAAAATGATGCTGTAAAAAGAAATATAAGAAGGACTAGACATAGGATTCCATATTAAGTGTTGATTCCTGTCTCTGACTTGGTGTTACTCTGAAAATAAACACTTGGCATGATCTTTCCAGTTTATGATTCTTACCTATTACCAAATATGAATCCATGCTTTCACAAGGGAAATACTGTGTTCTATGTATTATCTTTCTCTCCCAAATAAGACCAAGTTCTTCTATGAAGAAGGATATTCTAAAGGACTGTCCTGCCTTGTCTTGGCAAGGTTTACAGTCACTCTTTTTAGTGTCCTGTTTGTCCAATTTAGACAAAATATTGTCAGCAGTTGAGGCAAAGGACAGTTTCTTGCCCAATGGCTTACTTTTGCCACAAAGAAAGTAAACTCCATGTGGAGTTTCTCTAATAACCATCATCTTCTCCAATGTAGATTGGTGCTTCCAGGAGCAGAGGTATCTCCTTGTCATAAAAATACCTATATTGAAACATCTTAAATGCCATATTCTATAGGTCTCTGAAATGTTTGAAGATGACCATTCTTCCTAAAATATATCTTTTTGACCTTGAAAAAATACCTTATGTGACTACAACTTTGATTGTAATAGCTGAATAACTACTAACCTATACTTCCTTATTATCCTATATAGTTGGTAATAATAACTTTCAAGGACTAGAAATTTGCATTACATTGATAAATGAGCTGTATAGGTACAGTATCTTGAACAATATTAGAAACATATGGACAATATTTTTAAACAAAATTAATCTCAAAGATTTATCAATATATAATATTTGTATAGAATATATAGAAGTCCAATCCAATGTAAAAGATTTAAAACTAGCAGGTGCTTTTAAAAAATAAATTCAATAATCTACCTTTCAATCTTATTATATCTATACTTTGTAGAAGCAGATTCAATAATCTACCTTTTTATATGTCATATCTATATCTTCCCCTTTTTTCTTTTCAGAGCAGATTTTAAAAAATCCGTCCTTTTTATCCTATCATATCTATATCCATTTTTTCCTTTCAAAATGAAAATCTTGAATCTAATCCCCTTGGTTCAACTTTTTCCTGACCTTAATGGACAATGAATTTTGCAATCGATTCCCCTAAACAATGTCAAATATTCATAACCCAATGAGTGACCAAAAACAGTTCACCTCACCTTTTTGGAAAATGCATCTCTTGTTCTTGAATTTACTTCTTGCTATTTGGGGGTGATGACTGTTAGAGATAGACCAGCGATCAATAGAGTATAGGTTTTCTTTATTCAGATACACCAGCCAAGCACAAGCCAGAGCACACCCAGAGGCAGCAAAGCAGGGAGGCCAGAGAGAAGGGGTCCCCATGTGTCTCCAGCCCTTTAAGACCCTCCTTTTATGTCACCTCAGATTTCCCCTCACCCCGCTCTCACTGGCGTGTCCCGGCACACCTGTCTGGGTTACCTGGGGCGGGGTTAGGGTGTCTCCCTACAGATGACATCTTAGGGGATTCTGAAAATAAAATTTTGGGTTAATTGTTTTGCTGTATTATTTTTGTGCATTCTTTGCATAATGGGAAAATGCAGGGCTTGTCTCAAGTCCTGGCTAAAGTGGTCTGTGAGATAGGATCATCTCAGTTGGCCTGGCTTGTTCCTGATTTTAGAGGGATTGCTTTGAGTTTCTCTCCATTTAGTTTGATGTTGGCTGTTGGTTTGGTGTATATTGCTTTTATCATGTTTAGGTATGTTCCTGTTTTTCCTGTTCTCTCCAAGATCTTTATCATGAAGGGATGTTGGATTTTGTCAAAGGCTTTTTCAGCATCTAGTGAGATGATCATGTGGTATTTCTTTTTCAGTTTGTTTATATGGTGGATTACATTGATGGATTTTAATATATTGAACCATCCTTGCATCCCTGGGATGAATTCTACTTGATCATAGTGGATGATTTTTTCTGATGTGTTCTTGGATTCGATTCGCCAATATTTTGTTGAGTATTTTTGCATCGATGTTCATGAGGGATATTCATCTGTAGTTCTCTTTTTTACTTGTATCTTTGTGTGGCTTGGGTTTCAAAGTGATTGTAGCCTCGTAAAAAAGAGTTTGGCAATGTCCCTTCTGCTTCTATTGTGAGGAACAGTTTGAGGAGTACTGGTGTACTCTTGTTTGAATTTCTGTTAGAATTGTGCAGTGAAGCCATCTGGCCCTGGGCTTTTTTTGGTTGTGAGGCTTTTGATGACTGCTTCTATTTCATTGGGTGTTATAGGTCTATTTAAACTGCTTATCTGTTCTTGGTTTAATTTTGGTAAGTGATATCTATTCAGGAAACTGTCCATTTCTTTAGATTTTTGAATTTTGTGGAGTACAGGTTTTCAAAATACGACCTGATGATTCTCTGGATTTCCTCAGTGTCTGTTGTTATATCTTCTTTTTTGTTTCTGATTTTGTTAATTAGCATGCTCTCTCTCTGCCTTTTGGTTTGTTTAGACACAGGTTTGTCTATCTTGTTGATCTTTTCAAGGAACCAACTCTTTGTTTCATTGATTCCTTGTATGATATTTCTAGTTTCTAATTTATTGATTTCAGCCCTAAGTTTGATTATTTTCTGGCATCTACTCCATGCTGAGTTTGCTTCTTTTTGCTCTAAAGCTTTCAGTTGTTCTGTCAATTCTCTAGTGTGATTTTCTCCACTTTCTTCATGTGGGCACTTAGTGCTATGAACTTTCCCCTTAGCACTGCTTTCAGAGTGTCCCATAAATTTGGGTATGTTGTGTCTACATTCTCATTAAATTCTAGGAAGTCTTTAATTTCAGTTTCTTCTTCCTCAACCTATGAATGGTGCAATTGGCCGTTATTCAATTTCCACGAATATGCAGGTATTCTGCAGTTTGTATTGCTTTTAAATTCTAACTTTAAAGCATGGTGATCTGATAAGATACAGGGAGCTATTTCAATTCTTTTGTAACTGTGGAGGTTTGCTTTGTTGCCAACTATGTGGTCAATTTTAGAGAAGGTTCCATGTGGCACTGAAAACAAGGTATATTCTTTTGTGTTTGGATGGAATGTTCTATCGATATCTGTTAAACCCAGTTGGGTCATAACTTCTGTTTAATCCTTTGTTTCTTTGTTAATTTTCTGTCTGGTGGTCCTGTCTAGTGGTGAAAGGGGGGTGTTGAAGTCTCCTACTATATGTTTGTTTGGTTTTATGTGTGGTTTGAACTTTACCAATGTTTCTTTTACAAATGTGGCTGCCTTCGTATTTGGGGCATAGATGTTCAGGATTGAAACTTCATCTTGATGGACTTTTCCTGTGATGAGTATGAAATGCCATTCTTCATCTCTTTTGGTTGATTTTTGTTTGAAGTGTAATTTGTTAGATATTAGGATTGCTGTACCAGCTTGTTTCTTGGTCCCATTTGATTAGAAAATCTTTGCCCAACCCTTTACTCTGAGGTCATGCCTGTCTTTGAAGTTGAGGTGTGTTTCTTATATACAGCAGAAGGATGGATTCTGTCTTGTATTGATTCTGTTAACCTGTATCTTTTTATGGGCAGGTTAAGACCGTTCACACTTAGGGATATTAATGTCCATTGATTGTTGGTTCTTGTTTGTTTTGGATTTATTGTTGGTGGTGTCTTTGTCTTTGGATTTCACCCTCATGTTTCTTTTCCTGTTTGGTTGAGTTGGATTATCTATTACCTATGTTTTTGTGAGTGTAGTTGTCGTCATTGGGCTAGAATTTTCCCTCTAGAACTTTCTGTAGTGCTGGATTTATGGATATATATTGTTTAAATCTGTTTTTGTTATGGAATATCTTGTTTTCTCCCTCTATAGTGATTGAAAGTTTTGCTGGGTACACTAATCTGGGTTGATATCCATGCTCCCTTAGTCTTTGTAGGATATCTATCCAGGACCTTCTGGCTTTCAGAGTTTCCATGGAGAAGTTGGGTGTGATTTTGATAGGTCTGCCTTTATATGCTACTTGGCCTTTTTCCTTTGCTGCTCTTAATATTTTTTCTTTATTATGTAGATTTGATGTTTTGATTATCATATGTTGGGGGGACCTCTTTTTGTGGTCCAGTCTATTTGGTGTTCTGTAAGCTTCTTGTACTTTCATAGGCATATCCTTCTGTAGGTTGGGGAAGTTTTCTTCTATGATTTTGTTGAATATGTTTTTGTACCTTTGAGCAGTCTTTCTTCACCTTCTTCCATACCTATTATTCTTAGGTTTGGTCTTTTCATGGTGTCCCATATTTTCTGGATATTTTGAGTTAGGGATTTACTGGACTAGAGATTTTCTTTGGTCGATGAATATATATCCTCTAGTGATTCTTCAATAACTGAGATTCTCTCTTCCATCTCTTAA